GAGTCAGTATTGCTCAACTAGCAGCACTAACTCGAGTCTCACAAAATTGCGAACAGTTCCTCAATTTTGAGTGTACAGCTGGTGTAGCGTTTTTCGAGGCTGGTTATGCTTGGTGGGTGTCACGCAGTGGAACGCGGATGAACTTTTGGGGAGGAGCTACAGGACATGACAATAAGTGCGCATGCGGAGTAACAAATTCTTGTTCCAGCGGTCACATGTGTAATTGTAGAGGCAGTTTCAGTGGCTGGAGAGAGGATGGCGGTCTGTTGACGGACAAGGCAGTTCTGCCTGTAACACAAATTAGACTCGGAGACTTAAATGGCTCGCACGAAAAAGGATATTATACATTGGGAAAACTGAAGTGTTATGGTGTAGCTTAACGTTACATTGCCCAAGTTGTAACGGCCTTGCATTTGAAAAGTATTGAAAACTTTTGTTGACTCTATAACATTACCGCAGATTTAAGTCGTATTTGACATTATAAACTTTATTGTTGCGGTTGGTAGTTTAGATTCGGATAATCTTGAGCAATTACTAGTAAGAACAAACTTAAAAAGTAAGTGTAAAATTTCCACCAGTTTTGACATCCTTAACACGTAATCAGATACACCCCATCAGTGTTACCGGCGAGGAAAAAAGATGAAAAATAAAGAAGATAGACAGAGAACCAAGCAACTAAAATATGACAAACTGAAACATAAGAACAAAAACAACAACAACAACAAGAAGACTAATATCTAAAATCGACATTCGGTTTCCGCCACATTATATCACTATGTCGAAGAAAGGAATTTTTGTTTTAAGATTGAAATTGTTTGTGAATTTCGGGCTCAGCCGAATTAATCGAGCCGGCAGTCGAAGAAGGAAAATTATTTTTTATTATTCACGAATACGAGAAGTAAAGCGGAAAAAATCAGAATTTTCCGTGAAGATTCTCAACCTGAGACGGTACGATTTCTGGAATGCTCTTTTGAATAACCTGGAAAAACACCTCTCTGATGCCAGGATCAGCGTCTGATGCGAGAATCTCGAATGATGCGTGGAAGAATTGTTTTCACAGGCCAAGGGAAGTATATACAAAATTTCTCCAAAATACTACGTCATGTTTTTCACTTTAAATGTCCCAGCTGTTTTTGCTGCCATCGTTACCATGGAACCCGCACGTCATACGCAGGCGCTATGACTAGAATTAGTTGCTAGTAATCGATTTTCTTCGTTCAATCTTCGATACTCGTGATAAATGTTGTGCAAATGTAGACGATTTTCTACTATGGTGCTTTTTCGTTTATAATTGTTTCTTCATGGGTTGCGGGAGTTCTTCGTCGGGTGCTGTGGTAAGGGTACAAACCAGAGTGAAATCATCTTTTCTCTAAGTTGCAATCGTTCGATTTACTATTTTCCCTTAAATTGCTGTCACGCAGGTGACTAGATTTGTTTTAATTTCTCTTTTGAGGCTGATTTTTAGAACATCCAGTCGAGCTTTATCTCGCAGAATGCTTGATTCGACATGTTAAGCTGAAGTTGGCACCGTTTCATTAATCAGGAAGTAATGAAGACAAGCGTATACTTAACGTCCAGACATCGACACCAATTTTGTTGAACACCAATGCCTATAATAGAATTAGTCAAGTGAATTGTTTCTTCCTCCTCCCAAGTTATTCCTTAAATTTTCCCTTATTATAACCTTGTGGAGTTTTGAAAACTGTATACTTTGCTCCCTAACGATGCTTTAGCTAGAAATGGAAGCCATTGATCTGGAAAAGACATACTTGTCGTTTGAATTCTCACAACTATAGTGAAAAGATATAACGCAGGATTAGTAACTTCTGTAACGTAAACCGTATTATTATTTCTGGTTTGTTTACTATTAGATAACAACTCAGCAATCGACTGTGGTAACACCACAATACAGTGGAACTCAAACAGTAGGTTAGTATCGCCACCGTATGTATGTTAATTGTTGGGAAGTTTTCTGCCGAGGGGTAGATACGAGACTCTTTCTTGTGAAAAGTCTCAGCTCGTGGGCGAGATTGTAAAATTAGCTGGAATCAGAGGGTAACAGTGCACTGTTACTGGCAAATGCTGACCACTGATGGTTGTTGTGTGTGAAGAGAGCATGATTGAAGATGGCATGAAATATTAAGTAAAGTGGTGTTTTAACTTGTACGCCAGCTTACCTGCAACTTAGCAGAAAATTTTCCATTTTTTTTCCAACATTTTGTCACATAATGCCTCTGTTGTGCTTAATGTAACAAATAACTTAATAAATGGTATCTGACTGTGGAATTAACAGTTAACTTTGTTTTTCTGAAATCTCACCTCCATCATCAGAAACATTGAGATATTTATCAAACAATGTCTCCCTCATAACAGTTTCTGATAAATTTCCTATTTCCAGTGCAATATCCCTCATCTTACCCACGACAAGCAGTCTATCCACAACAACGTGGACCACCACCAGCTTACTACAACCAGCGTTATCCTGGTCAGCCTGTTGGATATGGAACCCCTGGGGTCATTCAGCAACCTCAGACAGTTGTGGTCCAGGATAGAGACAGAGGTGGAGACCTCTTGGTTGGAATGGCAGCCGGAGCAGTAATGGCAAATGCTCTGCATGGACCTCATTACTATGGGCACGGGTCACATATCCATATCCATGATCACGACCACTTCCATAGTGGTGGGGATCACTTTCACGAGCACCATCACTATGGAGGCCCTGAGTATCATGAACATTATGGTGACAATGGTGGGTTTGATGGTGGTGGGGGGTTTGATGATGGTGGTGGATTTGATGGCGGAGGTTTTGATGATGGAGGAGGGTTTGATTAAAGGAGGGAACGGTGTTTTAGAGGAATGTAGAGACAGCAAAAAAGATGCAAGTAGATACTGGGATTTCTATATTAAGAGCCAATTAGGGGCAAAATTCACTGTATATATTTCTAACAATATTTCCTGCAAAATTTTCTGAAACTTAAAGAACATTGGAGTGAAAATTGCACTTTTGTTAGCCATCTACCTTGCAGTTTTTGCTGTTTGCTTTGAAACTTAATGAAAACCCTGAGAGAAAAAGCTTGAAATTAGCCAAGGAATCAGCCTTGAATGAAAGATGACTCGCTTACTGCACATGACATGTACTGGTAATATTTGCCAATAAGCCATACGGTACAACCAGAACTGAGCTTATAACCTAGGTCATATGCTTCTGTTTCCACTGAAAGCATTTGAAAGCATGAGGTAGACTTTCAGAACAGCTCTGTCAGTATATGAAGACTATGAGGCCTTTTTATGGAGCAAAAATTGTTTCTGCTTTCTCAGGCTTCATTTAAGTTATTGTGTCAGTAAATTATTCTAAGTTCACTTTTTCCTACATATTTAGATTGAGCTTTAATGTGAGGTATTTTTGAAAGCTGTGATAACCCTACCAAGACATAAAAAATAATGAATTTATACAGTCATGTATCCCATTCAGCTTCACAACAAATTCATTCTGTTGATATTACATATAGCAGTAAAAGTATGTCACTGTATTTATTGTAAATGCATTTCCTCCCTGGCCAGAAGTTTGAGTGACAGTATTTAAACTGAGTACATAACTTTTTGTAAGTATGTGGAAAAATCAATGTATTAAAATTAAATTACATATCAGAACACATATTTGTAGGATGTTGATACTTCATAACTTCACAATAAATAAAAATAGAATTTAAGGTGAGTAGGGGTGTATTTTTTTGTTTAGTTATTTAATAGATACTTTGTTATAACTATAGTGTACTATAGTTAATCTATGAAAAATTAAAGTTACCCTCTCAGATACAGACTGTTTTTTTTAAGTCACACATTTGTTTTTATTTGGATGAATGCATGTAGCTTGAATTGGCATGCAGAAGTGGTATGATGCTATTTAATCCCAACATTTTCCCCAAGCTTATTCAGTGATTGTTGATTATTATTATTATTATTATTATGTAAAATTATCATACATATAACTATCAATTTTATTGACTTGGGCAAATTTGTTGTGATTGATTCAAATATTCAAGACAGCATCAAAGAGCTTTCTAAATAGGGGTATCTTGTATGTAATCTACTGTTTGATCCTCTACATTTGATCATCTTCATTTGACCATCTTTATTTCCATGTCACTGGGCATAAGCATCACATATCGACACATTTCCTACCCTACCTGTAAGCAGGAAGTTTGTCACCATAGACCTAGTGAAATACTCTAGCCTGCCATCAGACTCCTATAGCTCAGAGGTAAAGCATCTGAAGTACAAATCGGATCAGAATCTAACTCTTATCAGTTGCACCAAGATTTCTTTTTTACACCTCACATTTTAACTTTTTTTTTTAAATCCCTACCCACTCCCTCCTCAAACTACCCTCTGGGATAGAGCCCGTACCTTTCCTCGTCAGCGGTCAACTTTGTGAATCAACATGGCGGCCAAAGAAGTGGAATTAGGATTTGCAGAAGAAATTGGTGACGATGCTGTTCGTAAACTGCAGATGACAAGTGCCTTCTTTCCGAGCAAAATCGGTGGAACCCCAGCATGGTTAAACTTGCAAGATTTGCCCAATTCAAGTTGTACGGTGTGCAAAATCTGCCTCAAACCGATGGCATTTCTCTTACAAGTGTACGCTCCTATGCCACATGACCAAAGTTTTCATCGAACGATCTTCGTTTTTTGTTGTAAAGATGGCAATTGTCACTCTAAAAACTACACCGATTGTTTCCTTGTACTAAGAAGTCAATTAAAACGCGATAACAAGTTTTACAGCTATAATCCGCCGCCAGAATTGGACGAAATTAACGAGCTGTCTATGGAATGTGTAGCTGAAGAGTTCAAACCTAAAACATGGATCAGTTTATGCGATGTGTGCGGGTGTAAAGGGGATAAGAAATGTTCTAAATGTCACGTGGCACAGTACTGTGGCCGTGAACATCAGACGGTGGATTGGAAATCAGGTCATAAGAACTTGTGTCCGAAACTGTGCGCACAGGAAAATAAAGAGCAACTGTTACAAGGTGATTTTAAACCTTTAACTCCCAAGATCTGATTGTCAGTTCTAGCTGCTATACATTTCCTTGTAAATTAGTTATTCTGGATAGTAGATGGGTATTAAGAAGGGAAAGGAACATGTTGATCACCTCTGGGAGATGAAGGGTTACTAATAGAGTCATTATACGTTTATATATATAGTAGAATGGTGTAAAGAATTTGTAAAGAATTCTTCAATAGCCTTCTATCATTTGTTTGTGTGATTTGTCCTATTTATTTCTTCATCACTTTCTCTTTTACAGAACATTTATTTAATGTAAGGTTGTACTAAATTGGATGCAGGAATGTTTTTAGTTAAACCCTCTATTATTTTACAACCAAGCCATAGCCCAAAAGACAATATATCATTTCAAAATTGTTTTCTATATCCAAGAATTTTATGCATAATGAAGCATATGGTTGTGCAGAGATCTTGCATTGTGTGAGGACTTTGCCTAGTTCATTTATTACTATTAAAAAGATGATATTGATGATAACATTTATTAGGATGCATTTCAAGTCTCAAGGTTTTTAATGGTTGAATTTCATAACAAGCTGTGTAGGGCTTTTATGTAAAAAAAATAATATGACGAGCTAGAACATATTTAGCAAAAATCACCAACCTGTAGAAGTTACCAAGACATATAACAGTAAAACCATTAATGCTGAAAAATATCAAACTCTTTCAACCCTTTCACTCCCAAGATCTAATTAGTAATTCTCCTTACTATCTGCCATACAATTCTTATGATGTTAGTTCGGAGAATTTGGTATTGAATCACAAATAATCCCATAATTGATATTCTTCTCTATTCTCATCACCTGCCTGCTTGATATTGTATTGATATTGTAAGGAGAAATTCTATCTTGGTCACTTGTGGGAGTGAAAGGGTTAATACCTCCAACATATTCCCTAGGAGGTTATAAAATTTGACTTTGGTTTTTATGCATTTTTTCAGTTTGTTTGTGTTTTCTTTTATTTATCTATTTATTCATTCATTTTATTTTCAGACAACAAGTATAGCAATAGAAGAATTCTCTTTCCAGAATATGAGTTACTTATTGAAACAGAACCAGATTTAACTGATGAAAGTGAGAAAAGTGAAAAAGACAGATTAGATGAATACAAACAGTTTGTGAGAGCAAATGAGCTGCTCACTGATACAGAAAGTGACAAAGAACTAGAATCCTTAGCTTCTCTTGGAAAGGAAGCTTTACTTGCTGATAAACAGTTTAGAAAATTCAAAAAGAGAATTACCAGAGAACCTAAACAGGTCTGTTAAAGAGAGAGTAAGAAAGAATCTTAAAACATTCTCTTCCCCCCCCCCCTTCATTTGGCACTAAATGCTTATTTTGCTTGTTAAAGTCTGTTAATTGGGTTTTGGGTAGTGGAGGTAATTGTTTCATTACATATCTAACTCATGCACCATGATTGGTCAATTTAGTGGGCTGTATTTCACTGGACAGTCTGCTGAATTCAGAAGTTGGTTTGAAATGAAATCTTTCTCCTCTATTCGACCCCAGAGATATATTTATAAATATCTCATTAACATAATTTTTCTCAGTCTGTACTGTAAATTATGGAACCTCCTTTTTTGTCCACTCAGATTTACCAGAGTTCTAGTTCTAGTTCCATTTGGATGAACTGGGCTGACAAAAAAAATTTAATGCTAGCACTTTTGTAAAGACCTTTTCCCTCTCCATTACAGTCTTCTTTTAAAGACAAAGTAATGTTATTATTAGTCTGTTAGAGCACATGTGCGAGTTCTTGGAATACAACCCTTTTAACAGGGAATTTTTTGCAAGCTTAGTAAAACACCAGAACTTTTTGTGATAGATGTCCTGTTTTGTCCTTCAGGTTTTGCGCTATCACCAAAGTGGTGAACCTCTCTGGGTCTCTGATGAAGGCAAGCCTAGCGAAGACGACATTCCAATATGTGATTGTGGTTCTGAAAGGGTGTTTGAATTTCAGGTAATGATGATGGTAACATTTAAGGCTTTTGAAAGCCATGATTATGGCACTTTCTCCATGTGTGGTGTGTTTTGTTGCATTCAATGTTTTGAACAGAAATTCTCTTTTTTGTTGCAAAATTGAATACTGAATATTCCTTTACACAAATGAAGAGCCCACTAAAATTTGCCTGTCTTCCAACATGTGGCTTTACACAGCTCAACTAGTATCTGTGAGGCACGCATCCCAATCCTATCAAAACCTGACTTTTTCAGGCTTCTTTTTTGTGCAATTTCTTTCATTGCAGCTCATCTCTAAGGATCATTCTTGTACTTTAAAATAATGAATCATAATTCCAAAGATCTAAATTCAGTGTTGTACAAATATGTATCCAGGTAACACCTTGGAGCTGATAAAGTTGTTTCTTCCCATTATGTTGGCTGAAAAATGCAACAATATTGCAAGGAAAATATACCTGTACTTGCTTATCACCTCAGGGAGCTAAGGGATTAAAATTTTTGATATTCCTGATGGCAAATATTTCCGTCTTCAGATAAGAAAATTATCAGGGTAATAGTCACAGTGGCAAAATAAGTATCCAGTCAAGTCGCCAACTCACAGATGTATAAAATTGAGTAGAAACGTCAGTGAGTTGGTCTTCAATCCAGTACAACTTATTAGAAGTTAGACATATAGAAAAGTAAAAGATCTTT